AAGTATAGTAAGGTAATTTCAGCATCATTGCAAAGAGCAGTAGTAGCTGACTGTAAATAGGCCCTCACACTGAGGATATAGGGCTCCAAAGAGTTTATATTCTGAATGGACAAGAAATCTCAAATCTTGAAAGCAGAGCTCCTGCCTTATTTGAATACTCTTTTGCCCCCTGTAGTGCCATGGGATCAGCAATTAGGCTTATCATGAATACAATAGATGTTTTGCAAGTAATAGTTAAATTTCTTCAAGTTTGATGGCATCAGTCTACCACTGGGCCCAGTTAGAAGAACTGAAAGGGCCAACTAGCCTTGCCTTTTGGTTTTAAAGTTCGTAAGATTGTAGCCAATTGTTCAAATACCTTCATGGAAAGATTTGTAGACAGAGCAACTAGAGCCTGACTCAGGAAAATGCTTAAAAACTTGTGCTCCCAAATTGGTTATGGAAGGATCTCGTCTGTTCTATACAAAAACGGAGAAAAACTTAATTTAGAACAGCCTGTTTTTTTGTGTAATAATTTCAAATTATATATCATTTGTGTCCTATAAACAGTTACAGCTCTTGAAAGTATAGGAACCAAATACATATAATGCTGGTTTTAGTGCTTCTGGGGGAAAAAAAAAAATCATTGTCACAATTATCCAGAATTTATTTTTATAGCTAGGTTTGAAAGAACTTAACCGTTTTTTTTCCAGAGCTCCTACTAGTGCTGGTTTTTTTGTTTTTGTTTTTTTAAAAAAAGCAACATATGTAATAAAGGCAGGTAAAATTCATAAAGAATTCCTGCAAATAAAAAGAGGCATTTATGAGGCAAAGAAAAGATCTTCGTTGTGATTCAGATCCCAACTGGTCAAATGACTGGCTTCATGATTCAAGACACAAGTTCTTTTTCCTTGTTAGAGGCAAGACATGCTATTAATCTTACCCATTGCGTTTCTTCTATACATTTTTCTTAGCTGAATTTGAGAAAATACCTTTGATCTTTGTCATCATACCCATCCGTATTTTTGAGAGCAGGTCTTTTTCAACCATGTTAGCAGGATATCTCTTCAGTGAGATCTTGAAAGCGTGTTTATTTAGTACTGTTAGTACCGTTACTTTTTCTTGCCATACATGCATTTATTTTCTTAAAAATGAAACGATATAAACTAACCTTTACTATTGTGAAAATATAAGGGTTTTTGCAAAAGTACATGTGGTTGTAATATTAACAAAATTACTTTGTCCCCACATTCATATCAAGGATACATGAATTTGTATATTGAATATTAGGGGAAGATCTTTGCTGTTTCCCATGTGAATAGATATGCAAGTGTAGACTTGTATCACCAAAGATATGTACTGAAAGTATCCGTTTTTTTTTTTTTTGCTTGTAAATAAAAATGTCGTTTAGGAGTTGGAATATAAAATACTAACTTGATTTCAGTTGTAGATAATGGGGTCCAATGAAAAGAGGGTAACAGTTACCTTTTTATAATTTGAGACTGAAAAAATTGGCCAGGCTTTCAGCGAATTGTGTTTTTCTATTACTAATTATTGTATTTACTGTTTTCTGACAAAACCTCTTTATTGAAACAACTTGGCAGTAACAACTGTGTGGTAAAATAATTCATCTGAGTAGCTGACCTGCTGTTGCAAAATGCACGTTTAATGATAAAGTATAGACCTACAGTTGAATCATTTTGACCTTGGTTTACATTACTTCTGGTAAGCACAATGGGCCTTAGTACATGGTACAGAATTTCATGGTAGATCACTCAGTGTTTGTTTTGGAGATCAAATTTATATCAGGCTAAAAGAGCATTTTTAACTGTTTTCAGGCTGAGTTTCTGTACTTCACTTGAATAAATGGCAGAAAAATAGCTATATTATAAGCACTAATTTGATCAGCTGTACACAGCAAAAATGCATATCCCAAGCATGTTCTGGCAGTCTTAATTAGAAAACTCCTTTGTGCTGTTACTATCTGTAGTTAATAAGATTCTATACAATAACACAAGGGATAGAAAGTACCTACATTCAGCATTTTGCTCCTGTGTTTATAGCAAAGTCATCCTGCCTGTGAAAGACGTATTTATTTATATACATATGCAGTACAGAAGACACTAAAAGAATGCAGCTTCTGCTGAAGAGAAAATTTTATCATAATTGAAATTATTTCACTGAAAATACTGTTGTTGAAGATTTGTGACCAAAAAAACTTCAGAACTGAAAAAGCGCTAATGAATGTGGTACTTGAAGAATGGAGATTTTCTTGGGGACTTGAAAGCATAATTGGTAGAAGTGATGAAAATACAATCAGGGAAGTGTAGTGGAGTTGAGGTCAGTTCTTTGGAATGGCTCCAACATGAGGCTGGTCTGCACTGGGAGTGGGCTTGTAGAGCAAAGCAATGTCCCTTCCTCCATTATACACAGTCAAGTAAGACCCGTGGAGAGGATTACTCCCCAGTTGAAAAGATCTCGCATGCCAAACATCACCACTACTCATGTGGTTAAAGCTTTTGGAACCAAAGCTGTTTCACAAACTTTTTCTTCTTCCCTGAGCTCTCCTTTGTGCCACACTTTCTTGTCTTCTGCCTCACACAGCTGGTGGTAGCAAATTAGTGTCCCTACCAATGTGATGATGTGATACGTTAAATCCTTGAGTGGAAAGATGGGAAGACAAGGCTGTTCCTTAAGGTAGACAATGAATCCAGTAGGAAAAAAAAAATCTTAGTGAAAAAAGGAAAAATAATAACATCTATGTTAGTCAATTAGTTAATTAGTATTGCACTACACTTTTATTTATTGTTAGCATTCCATTTTATTCTAATATTATGTGTTCCCACGTATTAAAATTTTTGCTTTAACATCTCCCAACAGCTTGTATAGACTTCTGTTCCACACATTTGTCCAGACTTCGTCAGTGCAGTAGGGCACAGAGCAAGCTGTTGCTCTGTTCCATTTGAGTAGTAACTGTACTCAGTTGTGGAGTACTGGGTGAGTGACTCTGCAGAGTGGATTGCATGAACTGTCAACGATGCAGCTTTGTTTTTTAATAAAGTATCAGTTTCCAAGAGTTTTCAGACTTCTTCATTTATCAGTAAATTTGTTAACACTAGAATCACTTGCTACACAGTTTGTGTATGTTGCTGAAAAACAATGAGACTGATAAAAAAGAAAAAGGAAACCATATAATACATAAGTTTTTTTATTTTTGCACTGATCTTGATTGTTACATGTATTAAGATAAAACTGGAAAGTGAAACATGGCTGGACATCTATGTAAGTTCATATCTAGAAAACAAAAAAAAAAGAATATATATTTTGGTATTTTGTGACCTTAATTAAACACCACAAGCACTGCCTAAGTTTTTGAAGCCTGTAAGTATGAATGTCTTCAGCAATTATAAATGTTACAGCGATTACAATTACATGTTAGTAAGAAATCACATTCAAATAAAAGACAAGAGCAGGAAAGACGTCCTTAAATTACAAAAAATGGGGCTACTTTTAGTATACAGGATTTGTTGCAAATATTTGCAAATGTACCTTACTTAACAGTCATTGATTTTTTTTTTTCCCCTTTTTTAATGCTGTGAATTTAAATTATTACTTTGAGAAATGTAATTCAGAATCTTTTCTCATTTTCTTATGTCTCCTACAAATATTGCTGTTCCTGGTAATTTCTCGTAATGAGAGATAAGAACAGAACAAAACGGCAATAAAGGCCCTAGGAACTCTACAGCAGTCCTCCTGAATTTGAAGGAGCATCCCTGCTTTGATGATGAGTTAGTCTGTTTTACTTAAGGAAGGAATAATCTTCAGATTTGCATCCCATGCATGGCAGCATGACTTGAACCTTTTTAATACAATGAATTGATTCAGTGTTGTCAGATGTATTTATGGTGTTTTGTTGGTGGGTTGTAATTTTTTTTTTTTTTTGCAAGAAACAAGAATTTATTTCAATGGCTTTTCTTACACAGATAAATAATACAGGTTGGATAGACATATTTGTAGATAGTAGTTTTCCTGTGAGAGCTCTAATTGTCTAATAATAGTTTTGGCTTCCTGCCTAAAGAACATACTCTGACATTTAAGCCAGGTGATCAGAATGTCTGCATTTCTGAGATCTAGCACACTGGCTGTAGCACAAATCAGCCAGCACCTGATTTCATTGTAAACCTGTTACTTATGTCAGTGTGAAATGTGTAGACTTTATATTGTAGTTCACTGTAATTGCTGTCCCTCACAGGAAGAAGTTTAAGCTAGATGTAAGTTACAGGATACATGGTGTTGTGATGGTTGTTAGACTTTTACTTCATAAGTCCCTCGGCAGAATGTGGAGTTCATAGAATTATTTTATTTATTGGGGCCAATATAGTATAAAATACTGAAATCTAAAATACCATAGGAACTTCAATAAAACATTTTTATGATAGGTGTGATATAGTTTTTAAAAAAGCAATCTACTCTATGAAAAGTCCATCTCAAAATAATAATTTATTAACATAATAAAAAAGCCAGAGAAATATTAATCCGTTCTGTAGTTTGTGTACCCAACATCTGAAAAGTATGAACTGTGAAGAAATTGTGGGAATAAGTTGGTATCTCCTCCTGTGAAGACTGGTAATTCTGGATCTCAAAAAGAATCACATAAACTGTTATGCCTCTGCCTCGATGCTGCTGTTATGCACTGCCTTTCTAAGACTGTAGTATCTTATGGAGATCTACTATTAGGAAAAGAATTCTGGTCCTTAGAAGAAACGTTCTGCCAAGGAGAGAATTCGGCATCCTCTCAGTGGATGTTTTTGTGAAACAGGTTTTTGTTAGGTTGCATGATTTTCCTTTATCTCTCAGGACGACAGAGTCGATGTTTTTTTACATATTGCCAACATATTTCTATAGACTTAATAAATCTAGATCATCAAAAGATCAAATTTTGTCCTTATTAGGGCTGTACAGTTACATTATAGAATTGAAAGACATACTCTTTGTGCCATTTATATTTTTTCTATTTTTAGGATGCAAAGTTTGTAGAAGAGCGACGCAAGCAGCTACAAAATTACCTAAGGAACGTAATGAACAAAATTATTCAAACTGTGCCAGAATTCACAGCCAATCCCAAAAAGGAGACTCTTATTCAGCTGATGCCCTTTTTTGTGTAAGTATCTGTCAAGTAGTAAAGAAAATATTAAGCTTTTTTCCTCACAATTTAATTTAAAATGTAATGCAAGCATCTTCAAAATCTTTAAAATGGTGCTTTTTTTAAATAGAAGGCTCCTCTTTAAATTCTAAGTGCTTTTGTTATTTTTAAAGGAATATATGACGTATATAGTGATTTTTGTTTTTTAAATGGTGACTTTTGAACAACAATTACTGTGTAAAGCTTTCAAAAATATCTAAGTGACCTCAAAATCTGCATCCATACATACTCATCAAACATTAGGGGTTTTCAATTTCTTTTATTTGTTATTTTTCAGTTTTGTTTTGCTTTTGTTTGTGTGGGGTTTGTATTTTTGTTTTCAGATTTATTCTGGGGGATGAGGGTGGAGCACTATTAGGGTACTTACTACCCAAATTAGAAAGTCAAGCTGTTGAACTCTTTCTCACTAAATTTTGCAATCTGCTGATGTGTGTTCTGATTTCATTAATGCTAACATTGAGTTTGTCCAGAAATAGTTTAACACACTCATCTGTTAAGAATCTCAAAACAAACCCTTTGATACAAGGGATATCATCTGTTAAAATCTTTCCATTTTGCTGTAAGCGTCGTTCTTTACAGTATTTGTAAATGATATTTGTAACTATTTAAGAAATAATATTAATGAAAATTTGTTTTTTAAAATGGTGTTAACATATCTTTCACAAACATTTTTTCAGTACAATGTTTTTTCAGCACTACACCTGTACAAGTTATGTATAGATTGAACACACATTCATAGTAAGCCATCATATTAAATTTGCTGTCCACAAGCCTCTGCACAGGGATTGTGCATCCATGCCTGTGAATCCACAGATGGATCAATTTGCAGACTCAACAGCAATTTAAAATTAAAGTTTCAGTAGAATTGTACATACTTAACTGTACTATTTGCATGGTCTTGTGCAGAGTTTCAGATTTCCAAGTTGAAGCTTTAGTTCAAGAAAGCTGTATTTATTAGAAAATGTAACAGATAAATGGAAAAATGCCAAGATGTATTTTGTGGCATTCATGTTTTTTCAATTTTTCCTGGATTTGAAAAAGCAAAAATCAATTTGATGAGACATCTTGATGATGTTCTTATAAATGGCAAAATGATGTCTGTAGGGACAAATAGCTCAACCTTTTCTCCCTAAGAACCTGTTTTGTAGAATTCGACTAAGGGCTGTAAGGATGGAAATGGTTTCAAGTACTTCCAGTTGAGGGGCCCGTAGCATGGCTTTTTGTTGAGTCATTTTAAAGACGTTGCCCTTCATGTTGTATTTCATTTTGTTTTTTAAAGAGGAGGAGGGCAAATACAAAATACATTTGCAATTGAGTTTTCAACTCAAATAATTTTTGCTCTTCCTGTCCAATTATATTTTATTTTAAGTTGGTTAAGTATAGCTGTGTGAAGTAGCGAACTGATAATTTCTTGTTAACTTCATTTTGTAACTTGCTGCTTTAAATGTAGAGCAGGAAAATAAATTCCAAACAGTCTGCTATTTAAGATCCCATCTTTTCATTGGCTTGTTATAATTGATCATCCTGAGTTCCCCACAGACAAGTGGTAATGCAGATTAACATCCGTAGGTCAAGGCTGGCTAGTTTTTACTCCTCAACCAGTTTGCTTATGAAAGAAATTCAGTTTCAAGCTTTCTGGGCTATCACATACTTCAGTAAATGATGATTATGGTTTCAGGTATACATTGAGTTGCTGTAGTAATTATAAAAATATTAAAATATGATAAAAGTGGACAACAGTTTCAACCAGAAGCTATTACATTAGGAAATACTGTGGATACTCTAGTTAGGAATATTAAATTGAAGCTTTGGCCTTAATTGTTGGAAAGCATAGTCATAGTAGCAGTTCATTACTTGAACTGTAATGCATTATTTACATGCTTTAACCAAAATTGTTTTGGTTTTGGATTTTTATTTAGTTTCAATTATTGGAAATTCACGTAATTTTAAAAAGTGTGTCATTTATTGTACAATTCAGCAGTGACCATACTGTGAGATTATGAGATAATACAGTACCGTTGTAAAAGCAATGATACTACTTTTCAGGTATTTTTTTCTCATTATAATACACTGTTATTACAGAAATATTTTATTACAGTATCTTTTCTATTATACTTTGAGAAATGGCATTTCAAGAACAGTTTATTTATCATCTCTTAGCCACTTATGTTAAAAACAAGAAGGGAAAACAAATTTCCTCTTAATTCCTCAGCCCTAAACAATTAATTTGCTTTCTGGTAGTTCATCTCATCTCTTTTAGCATTGATGCTAATCTTTTTGCAGTATAGCTATACGGTAGGTTGCAAAAAGACTTTGTTTATTATTAGAGGTTTTTTTCTGCATTTTGGCAATTTCATAATTGTCAATAGATCACATGAAGCAATGGACTCTAGTGGATTCAAGATTATTTGATATCTGGACATTAAGGCAAAAAGGTTCTGTTCATATATGTGTCAGTGAATTATTTCCTTGGAGCTTTTTCTCAAATAATAGATGCGTCAGCATTCTCTCTTAGCTAGAGTAGATAGTTCTCCATGGGAATATTAGCGGGATTCTGGAAAAGCTTTGCTGTTCAGCAAAATAACTATATCTACGGCAGACAAAGTGGGTTTTTAATGCACTTTTTTACTAAGATATCAGACTCTTCCTCTGCATCTAGAGCAGCTAGAGCAGCGATATTAAATTAATATAAAGATCTTTCTGGCAATGATAGAAGGAGCACATTTTATAAAGTATCATCATTGCTAGGCTATCATTTGAATTCTCAATGTCCGTTGTTTTCTGAGAGTCATGACCTGGCACTGTTGGTGAGTAAGGAAAAGCATCTAAAATAAAATGCATTTCAGTTCCACTTCATATTGCCAACTCCTCCAGTAGTGTTCTTCCTTAATGGATTTTGAGCTTCGTCAACAGGAGATCTTGAACATGCTGGACTCTGTGGAATGTTTATTACATTATTCAGTTGTAACCTTTGTACTGTACCTGCAATTCTTCTATTCTGTTAGGTTTGATAATGTTTTGGTTTAATAATATTTTAATATAAAACACTGTAAATAACTTATAATTCTGATATATTTAATTTGTGCTTTATAGCACAAATGTGTATAGTTGCTGATTACATCTTTATTAATGAAAGAGTTAGCAGTTACAAAGCATTGAGATATTAGTCATAGAACTGTGCTGTAGAGAGCAGTGATACCTCAGTCCAAGAGAAAAAATAAGAGTCTTAATATACATAAAAAGTCTCTAAGATATTAGAACTGTCTATTAGGAAGCAAAGAAATATAAAATAAAAAAAAATTATCCCTTATCAAATAGTTCCCTTTATAGTCCACTTTCGTGGCTTAATGTAAAAAAGAGATTCTGGCTCTGCTAATTTGTCTGCTTACAAAGAATTTTTTATTCAGCATGTAATAATAAAATTGTCATCACAAGTTAAATTTTCCAGTCCATGCAGCGCAAAACCTAAATCAAGAATTGGCACTGCTGAATTAGATTGCTGCATCTGCTAGCTGGTGAGGGCCTGTCTGTTAATACTTAAATTAACATTTATTTGCACTCATGATTGGTACATTACAGACAAATAAAAATTGTTATAACACGTACACTTGCATTTTAATCACATTTTTATTAATCTATCTGAAAAATATCACGTTAGCTCTTTGTAAATACATATATAAGAACAAGAGGGATCAATGTTGTGATGTTCCATTTTTCTACCTCTGTGTTTTCTGTATCAAATATCCTCATTTTTTCAAAGAGAAAGATTTTCTTCCCATCATCCTCATAATGGGCACAAAGTAAAATACAAGAAAAATAAGAACTTTTTTTACTGTAAGGGTGATGGAACACCCTAACAGGTTGCCCAGAGACTGTTGACAGTCCATCCTTGGAGATACTAAAGACTCGACAGGGCACAGTCCTGGGCAACCTTGTGCAGGGGGATTGGCTAGGCGATCTCCAGAGGTGCCTTCCAACCTCAAATAGCCCATAAATCTATGATTCCCCAAAATCTCAACCTGCAATTTTAACTTGAGTTGTGTTTTACATAAACCCTGCATAAAGAACTGTTAGATAAATATACAGCTGGTTAAAAAGATGTTATATGTGAACAAAAAAAAGCCTAAACACTCTGAAACTACTAAAAAACTTATTCCACTTTGTAGCTATGCAATGTTACTCAAATAAGAATACTGCCATTTTATTGTATCTTTTGCTTTGGCAATGCAAATGTTTGGATTAAAATATATGCAAGAATGGTATAAAAAGAATTTCGTTAATATTTCACAGATTACTCTTCTGAGTATTTTTTTATCTCATTTTCTAGGCCACAGCTACATCTTGCAACACTTTCTAGATAACTATTAATTACATGTTCTACTGAGGTGCAGAGCTGACATTTGTTCTCTTGTGGTAGCTGCTCAAACATAAACTTTAAAGAAGGTAGAGAACCTGCTAAGTAAATAATCAAAAAAGAGGCTAGAGCACGTTGTGAGAAACTGTTGTCTGCGGGATGTGTTTGAACACCAGAGGAGTCATCGGTTCTCTGTGATAATTAGAGGATTGTAATGTTCAAAAAATAAGTTGTCTTCATTTCACTGGATTACATTACTGGCAACATATTTGATAGCAAAATTTGTGTACTTAGGTGTTTTGTGTCAATTGTCCTTGAGTCACTAAGATAAAGTGTTGTAAAAAATTTGCTATTTCTACCTCTCCTTCTCATTTTGTAAGTGCTTCCTCCCTCCTGGAAGGTAAAGTTACAAGAAGCGCGGTAGAGAGATGCAGGTACCAACTGACAGGCAAATTTCAGTACCAACCAATCAGCCACTCAAAAAAACAATTGTTGACCTGTTGAAATATTCCTCTAAGATTTAATTAGTACTAAACGGTATGTAAAGCCAAGTATGTGCTTTTGGTCTCGCAGACCACAAAGTTAAAATAATGTAGAAGAACAG